ATACTTGCTCCTCTTCCGGGTCCAAGTCCCTTGCATGAAAACAGTGAATGTCTATTTATAAATTTTGTGGGTGACATGCTCCGTAAACATTGCATAAATCAGAACCGTTTCATCAGACGGCCCAGAATATTTGTTTGATTGGATGATGTTATATTTGAGCATTTAAGTGTACTAAAGATGTCAAAATAGAGTGATGTTAGTCTCATTGGATTCATCTCATTAAGACATTCAATTTGACTAAAAATTTGTTAGATTTGACTATAAATAAATGGATCATAGATAGGCAACTGATAAAAAGAAACTAGTAATTAAAGAGACTCTAATATGAAAATAAAATATTAACTTATGTTACACATTATCTCTAATTATTTGGAATTAATAATCATTTCTCTAACAAAGCATAAAAATTTCCTGGCGACATATCGCGGGAAGAAATTTCTATCGTCTGAGACGAATTTTCATTATGTTTTGGTAAGAGATCTTCGAAGTTTGAATTCAGGATCATCAAAGACCTAATTTCAACAAATTTATAGTTAAACTGAGCACCTCGAGAATACAACCCAAATGACACTAAAAGTGATCCAATCTGAGTCCAAAAAAGCCTTGGTCAAGCATTTAAAGTGCCATATAAGACTATGGTACATTAATTAGAGGGTCGAACTATCTCTAAATTTGGCATACTTATAATCAAATCGAGTGGCTCGAAAAGGGAAATTCAAGGAGCCCAAAATCATTTAATTCTAAAGCCATTGATCGTTCGGGCACTTAAATCCTATAAAATTATATTATGATAGAAGAAAAATTCTTATATCTTAAAATAACATATGTTAATTCCTTAACTTTTAAAAGTCAATGTTATTAATTCTCATTGCCTCATTTATTGTTCTTAATATTCTGTTTATTTAATTTTTATCTATTTTTTATAATTTATTTAGGAAGATTTGCATAGAAACCACTCAATTTTATGTACTTACATATCTAACACTTGAAACTTAAATTTGTACATACACGTTACCTTACCTATCGATGAAAATGTGTATTTCATTTTTCTTTCAATTAAAATAGTGGTATTTTAGATGTGATATAAAAAACATTGGTATAAATAAATAAATAAAACAAATTTTTGATTTTAGATATGTAAATACATATAAATTTGGTCGAGTATATATATATATATATATGTAATCAACATTTTTTGTAATATCATCTTCCCCAATTCAAAAAGTGTATTTCTTTACTCTAATTTTTTTAGTTGAATACTTTGACACCCTATTGTTTTTTTTTAATTTTTTCACCATGTTTCAACATAAAAAATTTATTGGTCTCATGCATTTTTATTTTCTTATATGCTAAAAATTGTACTAAGCTAAGACCTAAGATTTTATAACGAGCTAACAACTAAAATATAACTCATTCTAAGAAATAAAGTTCAATGACCACCAACCATTGTCAATCACCATCAATGGTTGTTATAACAAACTACGATTATTGTAATCACTAACTACGACTTCTGTAATCAATTATGACAGTTGCAGCAACCAACTCCAATTGTTATAACTCAACTATGATTGTTGAAACTAAACTATAACTACATAGCTAGTCAAAATTTGTAACCTGAGCTTCCCCAAATCAAAAGAATAGTGAACTTCTTTATTTTAAATTTTCTAGAGATTCATTTTGACCAAGTCAGACTTCGAATATAATTCTGTTAACATAAAAAATTTTATTATCTCCTGCATCTCTAACTATGCATCTGCTGGAAAATCATATTCAGCTACGGCCTAGGAGTTTTTTAACGATAATAATTTTTTGACGATAGTAATATGCAATAATATGTGTGTGTATATATATATATATATATATATATATATTTATATAAACACACACACAGCTTTGGATTGAACAACTCAACATTTTTTAATAAAAAGATTTTAAAAGTGAAGCAAAAATGCAAAACCTTAAAAACTGCGGGGAATTCTGAAAAAAGGAATCGATTCAACCGTTTGAAATCTACAAGTTTCCACAAAACAGAATAGCAAACCTTCATGACTCCTTAAAAATTATAAAACGCAACAGATTTTTATTTAACAATTTACTGAAAATTCACTTCAAATTTAAAAGAAATTTAAGAAAAACATAAAATTAGAGAGCAGAGCAACAGAAACAAGAATGTGAAGAAGCAAATCAACTTCTCCGTAAGTAACTTGCTAACTTGCTGCATCACGGCAGCTTTATTCTAAGAACACCACAAACAAGAAAGAATAATTAGCCGTTTCAAATTCAAAGAAGAATTAGAACAGCTTTCACTCCATAAATGTCAGATAAATCAGATCGAATCCTCAGTCATTTCCTCATAATCATCATTACTTTCATCTTCCATAGCTGGAAGGTTGAGATCAAGCGTGCCGAAACATAACTGATCTGTTCCATGTTGGCAGTAACTGCAGCAGAAGCTTGAACAGCATCAGCAGGAGCAGGAGTAGAAGCTGCGTTATCTGCAGCAACCAAGTGTCTTCTCTTATGACCACCAAGAGCTTGACCAGATGCGAAAACCTTGCCACAAATTGAGCACTCATGAAGTTTGGATCCATGATTCTGAATGTTGAGTTCTTTGGTAGCAAGAACTTCAGAAAAGGAAGGAACTTTGATCCTCATATGTCTGGCCCTGTGACCACCAAGAGCCTGGTAAGTAAGAAAGGTCCTGCCGCATGTTTTACAGCTATACCTGTTTTTCTTCTCAATCCCTGAAGCAACATAATGGAGATCCTTCCTATGAGAAGAGGCCTTTGACTTCTTCAGCTTGAGAGAAAATTCAGATTCTGACGGAAAAGATTGAACTTTTTCGTGCCCGTTGCTTAGTTTTCCGTTCCTCACCCTCATCGTCTGTAACCACTGAAGCCTTATCTGATGAATCTGTAACAGAACCAGCGCCTCTGGAGAGCATCATCAGACAAAAAGCACCCGCCGTTTGCTCATTCTCGTACGCCATTGATGAATCCAATGATCCGCTCCTCTCAATTGCATTAACTTTGCTATCAAATTGGGTCTCAATTCCATCCCCTCCCTCCTCATAACTTCCGTTACTATTTGAATTCATCTCCTTTTCCTCAAATTCCTCATCCTCTTCCCTGAGCTGATCCCCTTCCGTCTCAGAATGAAATTTCATATGGTTAAAAAGAGAACTAGAAGAGCTGAATTTCTCCCCACACTCTGAACTGAGCATATCATTCTCATTCTCTATCAATTTCCATCTCTTCCTTGGATTCACTCTAAATTCATACCTGCGCATTGGCTCCTAATCAGAATTCGGAAGAACATGAATCCTCATGTGTCCTCCGAGTGCTCTTCGAGTCGGGAAGCTTCGCTCACAAACATTGCAGCAGGGACAACCCATCTTAAAAGAAAAAACACAGCCCGAATTTGAAAAAAGGGACCTGAGAAAGCATGGATTTTTTGCGAGTTTCTTGGACAGCAAAGAAATCAGCGGTAGCTAAGTGCTTACGCTGCTTGGCTTTTTGTCCGCAAGAGCCCGATCGATATCCTTCTATTCTCAAATGCCTCTGATTTCTTAAAACAGATGACCGAAATCCATGCAGAAACTAAGGCTGGAAGAAAAAAACGGGGAGAAAGGCCAAGAAAGGTCTGCACGTGTACCTCAAATAGAGAACACTTCTGTTGTGTATCGGACGTCTATGATCAAATTTAAAGACGGTTAGTGTGCGCAATATCCGGAGAGTGCACGCAGCTCTCCGATCACAGCCGTACATCGTGGCGATGGGCTCCACACCCAATAATTAGACCTTATTTTGGGTACTTACATACAAGATACTTACTGCTTATGCATTTACTATCTTAACACCAAAATTCTACTTTTTTTACATTTACATCATTCATGTCTTTCATAACATATAAAAAAATAGTGTTATTACGTGCTACTAAATTTAACACATTAGAATGATATATTAACATTTTAGTATTACCAAGCTCCTACGCACACACAGATGAGGAGAAATTGACAAAAAAAATGATAGGAGTTTGTATGTGACAAATTTTGAAATGGTAAAAATCACGAGTTTATACTTTCTAGTCCAGTTGAAATACTTTCATCATGTCGATATATGTTACAAGTCTTTATCAATCATTGACTAATCCGAAGCAATATTACACTTGTTGGAGTTGTTGATGTGAATTTCACTATGGGTAGCGGAATATGTTTCAGAAGTGTTGTCGAGTTGGTTGTTATGAAATGGGCTGATAGTAGAGATCAAGTGCTAAAAGGTTAGATGATAGCGTCGTTAGTAGAATCAATGATTGGGCAGTGGTGGAGGTGTGAGTCATGGCCTAAAAACAAAGTTTCAGGGGAGGCAACAACAGTGGTCCGGGGATAGTGACAGTGGTCAATTTGCAGCAGTGGTTGAGGAGGTGTGCGGGAAAGATCCTGACAAGACTTCGAGTTTGAGTTCGACATTGATTGTTAATTTCAGAGAGAAATCACAGAACAGGAACTCAAACAGAAGAAGAGCAAAATCAAAGACTGGTCAGTAGACAACCTACTAGAATTATGGAAAGGCTGGTCACATAAAAAAGAACTGTAGGAATCCTAAGAAAAATAAGAATGATAGCGCAAATATGAAAACTGAAGATATACAGGATGAACTATTGCTGCTACTTCACAGTTCTGTTGATGAATGTATATTGGATTCAGGGGCTTTCTTTCATACTTTTTCCCACTATGAGTTGATACAAAATTTTGTTGCAGGTGACTTTGGGAAGGTAAATCTGGCTAATGGAAAAGCTCTGAACATGGTGAGGATGTGAGACATTGATATTGCACTCTCTAACAAAAGCAAATGGACTTTACAAAATGTCAAACACGTTCCTAAGTTGAAGAAATACCTCATTTTTTTAGGACAGCTTAATGAGGGTGGTCATTCAGTAGTGTTCTCAGATAGCACTTGGAAGGTTATCAAAAGAGCATTAGTATCGGCTTGAGGTAAGAAAACTGACACTATGACTACAGGTTTACTCAGCCATAGACACATGAGTCAAAGGTGTATTATGGGAAAGCAGAAGAATGTCAGTTTCTTGAAAGGTGACAGAGCGTCAAAGACAGGAAAACTGGATCTTGTACACATAAATATGTGGGGATCTTCTCCAGTGGCATCTCTTGGAGGCTCACGTTACTTTAGAAAGGTAAGGTGTGTTAATCCACTAGAAGTCAAAATGCACTGCAGTGATGGAAGAGATGAGAAGAGTGGGTCCAGGGCACCCATTCCTATTGTTCTACAGATAGATAGTGAAGAATCATAGAGCAATGAAAAACCTTGCAAAATAAAAATTCGAGCAAGTGAGAGCTGACCATGAAGGAGGAGATGAATTTTCTGTCAGGGAATCATACTTGGGAGTTGACAGAACTTCCACCTGGGAAGAAGACATTGCACAACAAGTGGATGTACCGAATGAAGATTGATCTTGACGATAGTGAGAGGTACAGGGCTAGATTTATTGAAAAGGGCTTTCAACAGAGACATCATATCGCCCATGCTGTGAGAATTGTAAGCAAAAATATGAGTAACCCATAAAAGAGCTTGGAGGTACAAAACTATGTTGATGTTGATCTGTCTGATAGTGTTACTCCTGAGAAACTGAAGTTGTACGTAGCTTCAGTTGGTCTTTTAGCTTAAAAACAGGGGTCTTGAGTTGTAGAGGTGGAGGATATCACGTTTGAAGAAATGGGCGAAGTTGCCAATGAAGGATATCACGATTGAGGAAAATGACGACACAACTAGCAGATAGTGCAGTCAGTGCTCAACTCCAAGTGGGAGAATTTTTGTGTTAGTGGAGCTTGTTCCACTATCCCGATTGGCAATTAATCAATCGCTTCCTAATTAATTTCCTTCCAGATTTATCTCCTGCTTCTTCTCCACTTCCTGACATCAAACTCATGCGGAACCGCGTCCCGCACCACGTACAGCTATTTGGCAATTACCTATTTCCTTAAATGGATTTCTTGAGTATTATAAATGCTAAGTTGGCTCTCCTAAAACCCTATCTCTCACCATCTCCTCGGCAGAAGCGTGCAAGGGAAAAAAGAAAGAGAATGCTTCTTTTTTGTTCTTTTCTTTCGGTTTGTTGGAGGGAAAATAAAACTTGGTTTTCTTTTGTTAAACTCATCTTCTCATGCGGATAAAGAGAGGAAAGAGAGAGGAGAAAGAGAGGAGAGAGTGTGTGTTCTTCTTGTAATCATCGAGGTGATTAACGGGTATAATTTTTCAAGCTAATAAAATCCTCTACAACTTCATGGCCGTAGACAATTTGTTGAACCACGTAAATATGTGTGTTCTATTGTGTGGTTTTTGTTTTGTGATTTTCTCGTTCCGGATTTTCCCTTTATTACTGTCATTTTTTACAGCACGCACATGCATATTTTATTGTATTTTGGTTATATAGGTTGTATATAGAGCTGTCAAAAAAACTCATTGTTCGCGCATAGCTTATGATCGGCTTATAAAGTAGCTCGTGTTTGGCTCGTTCATTAAGTAAATGAGTCGAACATGAACAAATCTTTGCTTGCTTGTTTTTGGTCGAAGTAAGAAATTATATATATTATTTATATAATAATATAATACATACATTTTTATTTGAGTTTAAATCAGAGTAGCTCGTTTGGTCATATGGTTTAGTGTCTTCTTTTGTACATAGTTGGTGCATATTCGAATTGAACACCCAACATTTATTTTTTCCAATTAATTTTAATGAGTCAATTTTTAGACAAACACTAGCCGAACACAAACAAGAATATTCAAATTGACCTGAACACAAACACACAGTTCACAAGCCGATTTCGAACACGAGCCAAGTCTGAGCACGCTCAACCTCGGCTCTTTTACATCTCTAGTTGTATAAATACAAACAATACAACAAAATCAGCGTGTATGTACTCCACGTCTAGTTCTTGCTCCTCTTCCAAGTCCAGGTCCCTTG